AGTTCTAAAAAACTAGCGAGGTGTAAGTTAGGATCTTCATTTGGTGTACCTCCGCATTGATTATTTTGTACCATTTGGATAATAGCAGGTTTAAGCTCAAATGAATTAGCAGCTACATCAGGATTTTAGATAGATAAACGAATTTCATCTGCTGTAGGATTTGCATAATCTCGTAGGAGTCTAGGTTGGTGTCTATTCTCTTTTCCTTGATTGTTTATGTTGTTTTCCATTGTATCAGAATTTCTAGTTTCTCTTCTCAATCTTCTAATCTTTCTAACAGTGCATTCTAATTCTGAATCGTAGGGTATAAGATTTTCAGGTCCAAATTTACGCATACAATTTGAAATCAGTACACAGTAAAACAGTTAACTAAATATGAAAATAAGTTGCAATTCAAGTAAAAATTTTCTAATAATCCTAATATGTCTGGTACTCCAATTGTGATTTTTGTTTACTCACTCTCCGGCAACGGCGCTAAAAACTTGACCGCGACTTTATATATGCTTAAAAATATAAAATAAATATGGACGTAATAAATATTCAATAATTATAAAGTCACATTTATCAATTATACGTATCTCTCAAGTAATATAGGGTTCTAATTAAGTCCTAGATATCGATCCCACAGGGAATAAGATTAGAACTACGAACTAAAATCTTAGAAAAACAATACTTTAATCACAACAACGAAGTTCAATTTGCTTATCTGTCACTAATAGACAATTGAAATAAATATGTAATTTTAATAACTATTAAATAACTAAATATACTAATGAATGTTCAAATGTGATATTCTTGACTAATCCTACGCTTGTTTACTGAATCTGCGGCTAGGCTGGGAGGATACCGGCTCTCACTTCGGAGCTTCCACGTTCCTCTCGCCTGAAGGCTAACATATACACTTCAACACTCAAACGATAAGACCAAATTGGGGATTTTAGTCTATCACTCTAAAACCTCTAATTCTACGCCTTCCTATTTATTTGCACACAACTTCCAAGGGCTTTGATCTCCCTGAATCTTAGATGTAATCTTCACTTTAATGTAATCTTCACTTTAGTTTTAACAAATTAATTGGCCAGATTGAAAGTAAATTAAGATCG